AGCGGACCTGACTACCTGCTCACGAAGAAAGAGGAAAATCTCAACTGAACGCGGACGCTGCCTTTAAGGATAGCTGTGAATTGGCACTATTCAACTATTACTACCCCAGTTTTGCGAAAACAGGCCGGATCTTGATCGACTTTTTTCTACGGGGGTGGATTTGGCTGAAAGTTGGGTTCTAGGGGTAATTCGACCTCCTGAACACGAATATCACATCCACTTGGCCTGAAAGTGCCTGGCGCCCGCGCCACAGGCGCCAGTGATTTAGGGCATTTTGGCGCCGGCGCCTGTGGCGCGGGCGCCGAGCGGTTTCAGGAGGAGCGGATGTGATATTCGTGTTCAGGAGGTCGAATTACCCCTAGAACCCAACTTTCAGCCAAATCTGCCCCCGTAGAAAAAAGTCGATCAAGATCCGGCCCGTTTTCGGAAAATTGGGGTAGTAATAGTTGAACAGTGCCGGTAAATTTTCCACAAATATTAACTATTCCAGTTAAAAATTTGATTGCTTGCAAAATGACTACTGGGTGCACTCTTTTTGGGATTTCACGGAGTTTTGAAGTACACAGGGGACAATCTCATGTAAACTCACTTTCCTTCGGCAGTACAGACAGCTGCTGATATTCGCGCACACCAAAGTGCACTAAGTGATGTGGACTCACATAACCTAAAAAAATACTTGTTATATTGAAAAAGAATCGATCTCAAACGTTCCAAGTTTCCTAAAAAGAATATTAAAAATAGGCTCCATGAATATAATGAAAGATATTGATTCCCCACCCAACACCTCCAATGCTGGACAGATTCGAGTGGGATGATGGAGAAGACAGGGAGAGAAGACGATTCCCTGACGGGAAGCTGTTCAACTGATACATTGGCGCTACTCGTAACGATGACGGTGAACTGGCTGCCACTGAAAATGTTCTAATATTACCGAAATCACAACAGTGAGCACGAGAGTTCTGGTGACGCCAATCTGTGAAAACTGATGTTTTGAACTAAATACAGGGTGGCATAGGCTCGCCATGCTGCCGGTAATTATGATTGCTTCTCTGAGAGTACTGAGCAGTCAGTTTAAATGGTACTTGCCAGATTCCATGCTACAACTCACTCTCAATTTTGGCTTACTGAAGCGATACTGCCTACCATAAAAAAAGCTCACCTTGTGAACTGACGAACGGCACAAGGAAAGCGGGATCAGAACAGAATGATGAAAGAAGAGGAACTCCCCATGAGTTCGCGAAGCGATCTATCACCGACGATACGAACCATAGCGGTATAGATGCGACAGTCTGCGAATCAGAACGAATTTATAGTTCGAATAATGATACTTTCACAGAGAATGTCACCAGCAGTAGAATTATGTAGGCCACCAAGAACTGCTTTCTATGATATGCAACCCACCCCCCCCTCCTTGAGAAGGGTTACGTTGCAAGGGTGGAAATACTGTAAATGAACTTCTCACTTGTTCTCTTTCACAGCGGTACCATCAAGCGCAGCATACATAATCATTATGGGAGTTCACCAATATTGGTCGCTTATAAAAGCGAGAATTAGAATGACCCTCGAGCGTAGGTATGTGAGAGAGTGATCGTCATTACGAAAAAAAAAAGATTTGGCGCAGGATCGGTCGCGCGAGGAAGGGATCTCGCCATTTTCATTACATTTCGATGGCGCCTCCTGTTTGGGCGAGCGAGAAGGCACAAGAAAGGAATTCTACGGTTGGACCGCGACCCTCACTCAAAAGTCTTAAAATATCGCTATCTAAACATCTTCGTCCGTTTGAGCAGAAACGTACGGCTATTACCCATTTCTTAAGAGAATTAAACTCAACCTCGTCTAACACTGGCGGAGGCGTCCATTTCTGATCTATAATTGACCACAACATGAAGTCACTGACACCTTCGAACGTCGATTTCTTAACTCGCCTGCACCCAATTTTTTGGCGTATTCTCAACTGTTCGTCTGCCGTCGTACAGTTTTCCGCAACACGCTTCAAAATCAACTCGAACGGCTTTCTTGCGTACATCCGCGTGTTTTCCAGCCCAATTCTCATCGATATATTGTAAAGTAGGGATACTGCCTGTAATAAGAAGTAGTATTAAACGCAGAATTCAGTAAGATTTTCCGCCAAGTCCACTGTTAAGCGTTGAACTAACCCCCGCACCGACGATAATTCCGTACGATCAGCTCTCACGCTACACCATAGAATGAGCTGTTCGCGTTCAGGACAAGCTGGAGCACTTGAACGATGACCTTGTCAACAATGTAGTCCTAAAGCACTCGAAACTAGTACGATTTCTACTACACCCATAGATACTCTACACACATATCAGTCAAAGTCTTACAAGTGACGAAAGTGCTCTCATTATACAGGGAGCATGCTGCGGAGATGGAAGCGGCATGTTGCGCATGTGGATGTCCTCACTTTCACCCGCCCCCCCCCCACCTTTTGTCACCCTCCCTCCTACCAAAATAGGAGTGACAAATTTTAAATTTTATTGGCAAAAAGTTTGTTATTCATTTCTTATTCGACTTCAAACATATACGCTGTCACTTGACAGGGAAATAATATTTCGCCGCGTATACGCTACTGAGAATCCCGCAGCGACGAAAGTGTACCACTTGAAATGCGAGCAAGGACGCTGGGGCTGGATCCGACTTATCCAGCGAATCATTTCAAGACGCTTCCACCTTCCACAACGTAAATCGCAAGTTGCCATGATGTTGCGCAAATTTCGCCCATTTTATACGACACTGCGCTTCGTTGTCTGGTCTCTCCCAGTGCCCCTTCACCTCCTCGTCCAATACTCGTAATTTTCTGTGAAATGAAGGGCCTTACCAGGGCACTTAACGTCGGTTTCTTCGCTTTTCTCTCTGCTGTAGTGAGTCAACAGGCGTGTACATTTCGTTTTAAACAACATGGAAATGTAGCATGACAATGCGCAATGTTTCGCTTCATGTACCTTAGGTAAGTCCCGTTCCGCGCAATTCAGCGACGGGGGAGGGGGGCATTTTGCACTTTCGTTGCTTCACTAGTTCCGGTTTACAAGTCTCACTCTGGTGAAACCTGTGAACTCTTGTGAAGCTGGAGCAAGCTCGTCAAGCCATCATGGTAAAACCTGTCAACTCGAGAAGAGGCTGTCTAGATGGGTCGACACGTCGATGGGAAGTAGCAAAAGTGCAAATGCCCTCCCCCTCCGTTGCTCTCTAAACCCAATCGAGCTGTTGAGCTCACACCACTGATCAGACTTGGTGCCATAGCGCTCTTTGGACTATATGTGGCAGCCGCGCCAGTCGATAGCCCTTTTCAAGGGCTATGGTTGAGCTAAATGGTGGGGAGACTAGCACAGGAATGCTGAGCTAGAGCTATAGGCACAAGTCTTGAGTTCAGGCGAGACTAGAACACGCACAACGCTTACTGAAGTACTGCGCTATCCCAGCGCTACTCTTACCCCTCACCTTGGAGGCTGATGAAGCGCGTTGCCCTCACCCTCCCCCTTCCCTCTGAAGGCATAGGAGGTTACGCTACTGGCTACTGAACCATGAGTACTACAAGTAAAACACCTCAAGGTAGTTCATAAGCTGATGATCGGTCATCGACCTGGCGCTGAGTCGAACGATCCGAAACGCCGCTAACAGACCGGCTTCGATTTGTGGTGTGAGCCTTTTGGTCGCCTGCTCCACTAAATCGACACAGAACGGCAAGTATTGCACCTGTAATGACAACAAGACTTATAAATAAGACGCCAAGGTACTGTAAACTGTAACTGATGGGAGCTCACTACTCACTGTTATGAACGTTACACTGTAAGTGGCAGCGATTTCAGCTAGGCACGCCTCTACTCGAGCACCACATTCGTCACCAAGTAGCGACAAAGTGAACACTGACTGCAAAAAAGACCCAGGATATTTCCTTTTGTACTTTTACTAGCAGGAAGTGAACTCACCTGTGGTTCCTGATTAGAGCCTATCAACGTCATTCCAGAATAACATGATCCAAGAACTCTCAGAAGATTTGCCGTGATGAACCGGGCGCTTATCACGGGGCCATATCTCTTTGATAACCTGTAACACAACCAGTGGTCCTCAGGATAATATTTAGAGAATGTGGGAGAAAAATCTAATTTTGGAAAAAGGAATATCGCAAGGGGCTATGCTGCCATGGAACATCGGTGAGAGAATCCCAACAGAGGCTGGCATTCAGTTGCCGAGGAGTCATAAC